TGTGTGTGTGTCTCTGTGTGTGTGTGTGTGTGTGTGTGTGAGTCTCTGTGTTTGTGTGTGTGTGTGTGTGTGTGTGTGTGTGTGTGTGTGTGTGTCAGATAGTGGAGTACGAGGACGCTGAGAACGAGACGGAGTATTTTAAGGAGTACACTGAGTATCAGGAGTATGAGGACTATGAGTATCGTCCTGCAGAGAGACAGGAGCAGTTCTTCAGCGGTCAGGTGTGTCTCAGCTCTCTGTCTCTGTCTGAGTGTGTCCTGCAGGTGTGTCTCACACGTCTGTGGTGTTCTCGCAGGCTCTCGGTCCAGAGAAGGGGCAGAAGGGCGAGCCGGCACTGCTGGGAGAGGGGACGCTGTTCATGGGACCCCCAGGCCTGCCTGGTGCTGAGGTAACCTCTCATGACAGCTTGGTGACTCTCTGTGTTTATGTGTGTGTGTCAGAGACAGACGTGTGTTTCTGTTGTTTCACACAGGGGCCGCCGGGTGAACACGGCCCTATGGGATCCCCGGGGCCGATCGGAGATCCAGGAGACCTGGTGAGACACACACACACACACACACACACACTCGTCATGATCGTCAGGCTCAAGACTGATATTACACACTCATCTGTCTATCTCTTTCTCATTAGGGCCCCGAGGGCCGACAAGGACTTGCAGGGGCTGATGGGATTCCTGGACCTCCAGGGAACTTGCTGATGTTACCGGTGTGTGTCAATCAATATACACACGAACTTACAGAGACGTTTGTTTTTATGTTTGCTGAACGTTCAAACGTTTTGGGTCAGAAAGAACTGTTTTTGAAAGAAGTTAATACTTTTATTCAGCAAGGATGCATTAAATTGATAAAAAGTGACAGTAAAGACATTTATAATGTTACAATAGATTTCTGTTTCAAATAAATGCTGTTCTTTTGAACTTTCTGTTCATCTCTGAAACCTGAAACACAAACTGCATCACAGTTCCACAGAAATATTGTGCAGCACAACTGTGTTCAACATTGATAATAATCAGAAATGTTTCTCGAGCAGCAGATCAGCATATTATACTGATTTCTGAAGATCATGTGACACTGAAGACTGCAGTAATGATGCTGAAAATACAGCTGCGCATCACAGAAATACATTACAGTTTAACACATACGCACATAGAAAACAGCTGTTCAAAACTGTAATAATATTTCAGATTTTTTTACTGCACTTTTGATCAAATTAATGCTGCCTTGGAGAGGAGAAGAGACTTGAAAAAGTCTAATTGACCCCAAACTTTTGAACACTAGTGTATGATTATTGATTGTGTATTGAGTGTGTGTGTGTGTGTGTGTGTGTGTGTGTGTGTGAGTGTGTGTGTGTGAGTGAGTGTGTGTGTGTGTGTGTGTGTGTGTGTGTGTGTATGAGTGTGAGTGTGTGTGTGTGTAACTAACACACACACACACAGCAGCATATCAATAATTCATTTACACAAAAACACAATCTCTAATGCGTAAACACTTCCTCTGATCCGCCAAAACTGGTTTGTTCATTGTTTTGGTCCGCCTGACTCAAATATCACCGACTCTGATGCAGTATTTCAGCTTCACCTTGCAATATACACAATATAACAAGGTACCTCAAAGAATACCATGGTACTACTGTGGTACATGTCCAAAAAAATCATAAAATTACTGTATATATAACAAATAATGCAATATACATTTTCACCTACACTACACTGTAAAACAAAAATGTTTTCACTCAATTTAACTGTAAGTTGCATTCACGTAGAATATTAGGTATTTTAACTTGAAAAGTTTTAAGTTATTTGAACTTATAAAGTTTAGTTGGAATAGCTTTATGAAAGCAAGCAGGAGGAACTTTAAAAGTTGTTTTTAATACTTTGTGTTTTCTTCACTCTGCTTTAAGTTATCTATTTGTTAAGATGCATTTTCAGCTATTTGTGCTATTACACACACATTTTCAGAAGTTATTTGAACGTTTAGTTGGAATGTGTCTATATCTTTAGGTTTTCAATACCAAAGTTCATGTTCATTTAACTTAATTTGGCTTATTTTCATAGTTCATCCAAACTTAGAAAGTATTAATAAACCTTATCATAATGCCAAATAATTCAAAAACATAAAAATAGCAAATATGGAATTTATGAACACACCTTTAATTCAACAAGGAATTTATTGTCAATGAAACATGACCGCTTTTTCAGTGTACTGTTAGTTTTTAAAAAAAAGTATAATTACTCTCAATATGAGAAAAGCAAGACATTTAGCTTTGAAAAAAACACCACTGGATACAAACCACAAACAAACTCTTCCTCATTTCTTTGTATTACTCTTAAATTTGCACTTCTATTATTGTTCGTAATGCAGGAACACGTGCTTGTGTTTTGGATTTGGATAAAGTAATAAAAGCAAATGTTAAAATGAAAGCCAAGAAATAAAAACCAACAAATGAAACCAGTTCAGTTTTGATCTGAGCTTTGAGATGAAATATTAACCATCTTTTCTTCAAACACAAACAAGCTTTATGATGATGACAGTATCGCAGGAAAGCGTGTCACTGCATTAGTATTTCCACCGGCTCTTATCTCATTAACCTCGTGTTTACCGACTCCCTCTTCCTCATCTGACCCACACACAGCATCATTTAAAGGCTGGCTTACCGTAGTAAAGCTGCTCTGATTACCTGTGCATGTTGGTGTGTGTGCTCTCACGGCCGTCTGGATGCGACTGAAGCGTTCCTGGCAGGAATTCTGCTGTTCTTCCAGTCCGCTGGAATGTGATCCGACAGCATTGATGTCACTCGCTCCTTCTGATCTCGGATCAGCCTCAGCCACTTTATGGCTTTTTATAGCCAACTCAACAGAGTCAGTCTAGAGTTCAGAGATTCCACCGAGAATAGAATTCTTCTGAGACATTCCAAAGACTATCTTGATCTTCAGTGCAAGAGTCACACGATCAGTGACGCTCATTTATTTGCTTTTCTGATTAGTCACACAGAAACTTAGAGAGTTATCAGCAGCTTCATGTCAGAATGTTGCTCGTTTTACTTTTTGTGAAATCTGAAAACTGAATGGAAAAAAAAAATCTACAGGTAAAACTTTGCAATAAGGTCCCATTAGTGCATTGACTAAAGTTTACTAACGGTGTGCATTACATTTGTTACAGTATTTATTATTATTTGTTAGCATCAGTTCAGTTCTGTTGCATTCCTATAACAAAGTATATGGGTCGGTGAGATTTTTTATGAAAGACGTCTCTTCTGTTCACCAAGGCTGCATTTATTTATTTTAAAAATACAGTAAAAATGGGAGATATTATTCTAATTTAAAACAGCTGTTTTCTATGTGAATATCTGTTAAACTGTAATGTATTTCTGTGATGCGCAGCTGTATTTTCAGCATCATTCCTCCAGTCTTCAGTGTCACATGATCTTCAGAAATCCTTCAGAATTGACTTCCATTGTATTTTTTGTCTATTTAATGGGAACCGTAACGATTTGATTCCAAACATTCTTCAAAATATATTTTTCATGTCCCACAAAAGAAAGAAAGTCAAACAGGTTTGGAACAGTAAAAAATAAATAAATAAAATATATAATATATATATATATATATATATATATATATAATTATTTCACTATTTGTGGGTGCATTATCCAATTAAGAATAATGAGAATTACAAAAACCCTCAAATAAAATGTACAGAAACGTTACAGTCATGAGATGTGTTTAACAATCGTGAAAATATTGTGAAAATGAAACGTATGTTAATGCTCCTGAATACAGGCTTCACTCTCTTTATGCAAAATATATTTTCTCTTTTGGTTTTGATGTGCCATGTCAAAGTCATTTCAGTTTCAGGATGATAATCTAGTCAGGTGTGTGTGTGTGAGCGTGTGAGCGTGTGTGTGTGTGTGTGTGTGTGTGTGTGTGTGTGTGTGTGTGTGTGTGTGTGTGTGTGTGGAAACAAACATCCAGCGTCAGCAGCACACGACTCATTCAGAGACACACAGAGACTCACAGCAGTACAGGACTTCCCTTTGTACAAGACAAAACACTGACAGAAACGAGCTTTCAGCAAGAACACACACACACACACTCTCTCTCTCACACACACACAACACACACAACAGCACTTTCAGCCTGTGTGAATTATGTCACTTAGTAGGATACAACACAACACCACTGACCTCTAGACAACAGCTGTGTGTGTGTGTGTGTGTGTGTGTGTGTGTGTGTGAGTGAGTGTGTGTGTGAGTGTGTGTACTGCACTTTAAAGCTGAAGTCAAACATCATCCCTGATTGCAGCAGAAGCAGACACACACACACACACACTGATATTACAGCTGCTGCTCATGCTGTCATTAACTCTAGCTCCTGCTCTATCAGACTCGCTCTGTGTTTATCTTCTCCTGCAGCACATAAATCACTGAACATCTCTGGCTCCCATCTAATGTAAATATTTTAAGACAGAAGAGAGGAGAGCGTCCCGTCGCTGCCTGACTCTGACACGTCTCGATCATGACATCATCTGATGAGACACCAGAGGACAAAGTCAAGTGAACGGAACTAAACTAACTCTGGAACGGCTTTACAAACACTTTTACTGAGCCACTTTTTTGTAGTAACTCTAATCAAATATGATTGATACACCTCGCATACACACACAACGTGATTTCTATGGAAGCGTGTTTATGCCACACAAATAAATAAATAGAAAAAGTCATTGCATCTTTTTATTTCAATATTTAAATGAAATTTAAATATCCCAATTCTTTTTGTTTAAATATCACAATTCTGAGTTTATCCCCCGGTTTCACAGACACGGCTTAAGTTTAGTCCCAGACTAAAGTGTAAGTCTGAGCTGTTTCAACTGAAAGAAACTGGCACTGATTGATCTTTAAATATATATATATATCAGTGCCTTTATTTTGTCTCGAGATGCACACCAGTAATGTTTTTTCTAAGGCATGTTTATAAAAAAATTACTTAAATGTCTTAATTAAACTATGGCCGAATCCTGGCTTAGTCTAAGCCCTGTCTGTGAAACCAGGCTTAAGTCTCACAATTCAGTTTTTTTTTTGTTTTTTTTTTATTAATTGCAACTTTTTCTCAGAATTCTTTTTTTTTATCTCAGTGGCAATTAAATGAAAAGTGGCAAAACTTTTTTTATTCCGTGGCAAAAATGGACTTTCATAGATTTCGGCATGGTAGTTGTTCAGATAAATTACAGAATTAATAATTAATTAAAGAGCTGTGCATTTGTTCATTTAGCAAACACTTTATCCACAGTGACATATGTGAGGAATATGGGCAGGGTGCAATATGATCATGTGCTCAATATACTGTATTTACTCAGCAAATATTTGAAGATTTTAAGAACATGTTCAGGATCAGACACGAGAACAACAGAATTACAGCGAAACGTATGTGCTTCATACAGACTAAATCATTTAATCTGACAGTGACTCTGATCACTGAACAAAACAAACTGTTAATGTTCAGAATGCAAATGAACAGAAATTAGGTTTAGAGCATAAACTCAGACGGCCGTGCAAAATAAAGATGCAATTCACTCTGGTATGAGCACATAAAAACATACTAAAGACCTAAAGCACAAATAATACATCAGAAAATATGAAATGCAACTGAATAAGAGCACAAGAGAATGAAATGACAAACTTTTATAACACCTCCAATCTACAACCAACATACAATCCAAAATAAATCATCAGAGGAGATCAGGTAGAGTTTATGAGTGTGTGTGTGTGTGTGTGTGTGTGTGTGTGTGTGTGTGTGTG